AAATAAAATAATTTTTTGTTAAATATGTAATGTACATTAATAATTGGGACAATGTAAAACTAATCATATAGTTGAGGGAGCAACATGAATAACATGATAGTTGGGGGACAATGTAAAAAAAGTCATAGAGTTGAAGCGGTCAAAATGTAATCTACCCTTTAAAAACGTCCCTCCTGTTGGTTGAACATTGCGTATCTTCTTCTGCAACATTATTCTTCATGGAGAAAAAAACATGACTCTTAATCAATTAAATTGCCATTACGAATCAAAAAGTGCATCAAGCAAACATAGTGCATTGGAGCATCAAATTCGTTGAATTTTCATTCATAATCTAACAATCATCACTGTAAACTTCTAATTATATTATTCCAAAAAACAAAATGCTACAGACAACCTATGATCAAACGACGTATCAGATGCCCTACGGTACAAAATACCTATTAACCAAGAGCTAAGTAAATCTTGAGGTTAAATTATATTTTTATCCCTTAAACTATGACCAATTTTTTAATTTTACGCTCTCAGCTATTATATTTTTTATATTGCACCTTTAACTATGTTATTAGTTTTATATCGTTTCAATTATTAAAATCCTACATATTTAGCAAAAACTTGTTTAATTTTTTTCATTTTATATCGACACATATGTAATGTCTATCTAAAAAGTTAAAGGATATTTGTAATTGAGACAATGTGAAATAATTCGAATAGTTGATGGGGCCACAGGTGGATCTAGTAAGTGGCTAGTGGGCCCACCCTCAATTTTTTTTTTAAAAGTTTATTGTTTGGGGAAGAAATATAAAACTAAATATTATTCAAATATATTTTGTGGTGCCCATCCTATAACTTCAATCTTTGACAATATTTTATAAAATTATGAGTTGTGATTGATCTACAATTACATATTTGGTCAGTTTTATAGTTTCGAGACTTTCTTCAATTGACTTTGATTAGGTATTTATAAGTTTTTTGAATTTTCATTCTTAATTTAAAAGTGAAATTATCGAGAATTCTTATTGTTTTCATTTTTTCACAACTGACGTATTTTGCCTATAAATTAAAAGCGAAGGTTTTGAGAATTCATTTGCGCAACTAATAATATTGCATTAACAATAAATTTATCATACAATGCCTTTAAATATAAAACCTCTGGTTAATTGTAATTTTTTTTTTTGTAAAAGGTTGTAATTGGCCTTTTTTTAATCTTTATATATCATTGACTTTTGGTCCATATTCAATGAATTATTACTACAAAAGCACAAAGTAAAACTCAAATGAGTTAAGGAGCAAGATTACTCACCATCATTTCAGTTCGACTACGTGATGGCCTTATCTACTCCGAACGCCAGTCCATTAACATCTCAATTGTTGTCATCTAGAAAATTTTCTGTACCTCGCCAGAAATTCATAGTATCTATTGTTCATACTACTAATTTAAACATATTGACTTAGAAACACTTTTTATTCGGTATAAAAACATCTCCAATTAAAACCTAAATTCTTATCCAAAACTGAGTAAAAAAAGAAAAGGGTAAAAAATATGATTTGTTATAAACCTTTCTAATGGAAAAACTCAAATTGAAAAGAAAATAAATTTAAATTTAAATAAGGACAAATCTAAATTTAAAGGAGGATATAATAGGATTATTAGATATTTAAAGAATAATGAAATTTAACCACAAGTGAGTTGAGTTTTTCTTGATTTGGGTAAAAAATTGAGTCTCTTTTGATTTAGTATGAGTTTGGGTATAGTATTGAAGATATTTTTAAGGGTTTTTTTACCCAAATTTAAATTTGGATTTAAAAAAAAAAAAAAAAAAGTAAGGTCGAAGGTGCTCTAATATTTCTACCGGTCTCTGTGTGTGTCTCCTGCGGCCTTCATCACTTTCGAGTTTGTGCTTTGTGGACATTACATCTTCGGCTGGCTCTTTTTTTCCTGAAGCTGAAGAAGACTGCCACCACCAATGCCTCTCTTTCACTACCAACGGGATAAAATCGGTAACTGCGAGTCTCCCCCTTTTCTCTAGTAATTATAGAACTAGACCCGCCTTCAATTTTATTGATGCAAAGCAAATGACCGACACAACAAAAAAAAAAAATGACTTGAATCTACACCAAAAATCCATACTTGGACAACCCTACCTTCAAATTAAATCCAAAGATCACAAACCTAGTTGCAAAATCAAAGCAATAATGAAACGGGTAGCGATGGGGAGGAAAAGCTTGAGTGCTTTGATAATGACAGAACGTATTTTCATGGTTACAAACTTGCATGTTGGTGCCAGTACTATTAGGAGAGATGTGAAAGAGAGTGTACCTGTTAGAGTATTTTTAATAGATTCTCTATTCTCATTCAACTATTTATATTGGAGAGCTAATTACCAAAAATCAAGTGTCAATAGGCTCTCTATTTAGACTAACTAAAAGCATTTCCAATAGTATTCTCTATTTTAGGGAGAATATTTTTTAAAATGGAGAACATCATTAGTAAAAAATTATAATAGAAAGTATTTCTTTTTTTATTCTAAAAATAGAGAGTAGAGAGTGAGTTTGACTCTCAAAATGTAGAGAATCAAATTAGACCGTTTATTTTAGAGAGGCAAAATAAAGAGTTCATTGGAGAAAAAATTTTAAAGATCGACTCTCTCTAATAGAGAATTGAGTGGGAATAGCGCCTATTGGAGATACTCTAACATAGAAAATCTAATTTGGCTTTCCACATTTGGAGAGTTTAACCCACTATCTATTATATTTTAATTAATGAAAAGATAACATACACATTTTTTATTAAATGCCATTGGAATTGATTAAAAAATTTCATTCTCTATTTCAAATTTCATTGAAGGTGCTCCTATTTATTTAAAAAATATGATCTCTAAAATAGAGAGTGATATGGTCTTTAAGAAATAATATAGAGATGGGAGGGTGTTAATGGTTGGCGGTGCCTTTTCGGTTTAAGTGGAAGACCTAAGATAATATAGGGAAGATCGGATTTTAGGCTCCAAAAATGATTAGTTTGAACTACATAATAGGGAGAACTGTTGATCCTAAAAATAGCTCCAAGAAAGTGGCAATTACTGGTGGATTTTTGGACAAAAGTCGAGGATCAAATGGTGACTTTGGTGGTCGACCCTCAAATGATCAAGTCAATAAAGAGAATTGAATTGTAGAAGTCTAGAGTAAGGTCCACTACTGCACTAGCATGATAGAGATGAGAAAAACTAATGAATCTAGTTTATGTAAATATTGTAGATGAGTGTTTGTTTTTTCTATTATTTGTTGTAAAGGTATTGAATCCCTGATATTTTGTTTTAGTACAAACGACACCGTTGTGTACTCTGTTATATAATTTATCTATTTTTGGTATTATTAGGTGATATTATTGATTTTAAACACGTTATTATATTATAGACACATGCATTTTTACGTGTTGAGTTTTATTTCTATTACTGAAAAATTAAAGAGGATCTCTCAAGATGAGGTATGACATATCCACGGTCAAGAATAAAGGGCCTCAAAGCCCGAATTTTTCCAAAAACATGCCTTAATTAATTTGATCAATTAAACAAGGCATGGGGGCATTATGGGGAGCTTATGTCTTGCAAGTGCTGACCGGCACATGGCTTGGATGGCTTAGCCAACTTGTAGCCTTCTACGGGCACCCAGCCTGCCGGCAGTTGGTTGTCCACGAATTCGAGAGATGTCTCATTGTCACCCTTTTACATGCCCACCTCTGCTAGATGAGTCCTATTCAGATAAGGATCTAGGACTAAATGTTCTGGTACAATATTATTTCGAATGTTTAGGAGCTAGTTATAAGGCACCTAGGAACAAGAGTCTTAGTTTAAAACTACTCTTGAGGACTTAGTGATAAGATTGATTTTATCACCATCTAGAGTTCGAGTTCCTTTGAGACACAATTTTTTGTCATTATAAATAAAGGCTTCGGAGTATCAGGCAAGAACATTCAATCCTAACCTATTTACTATATACTATTATTCGATTATCGGTTAACTTAAGTTTTTCAAAACTTCCTTACCGTTAGTGATACGTGAAAGTCAATCAAGAAAGGTTTTCAAGTCATTAGATGTGATTAGAAATAAGTCGAGAGTCAGGTACCATAACATTAACCCACTCTCCAATAGTTACACTAGGCCTCTGCCTATAAAAACCAGCCATACTCCATGAATAGGGTCCACAATTGCACTACCTCGTTTTATGTTCTCTTACTTTCTCTCTTTCTTTCACTTTTGCTTTCTTTATATGTTGGTTGTCTATGCGCTTCCACAAGAAATAGGAGTATCATTAAGACTACATCAAAGCCAGAAATTGTATATATTTTTATCAACTATAACAAATTATGTTCACAGATGTTCAGCCAGCGCCCCCCAGTCCAGTCAAGTATACACAGCAGCAGGTATTAGATATTGGCAACTTAAGCAACAGCCAGATAAATCTAGACAAATTTTTTATTCCGTTACAGAAATCTCTACACAGTTCGATTTATCAACAACTCATTGGGAGGTCAATCTGTGAAGGATTTGGTCATCAGCTAAAACTATATGCATCAATAGGCAAGTTTTTTAGTTTCCACACGACCAACACAAAGCAAGGAAAGAGAAAAATAAAAGAATCATGGGACAGAGAAATTCAGAAAACAATTACTGAAAATCTTGCCTGACATTCATTATTAATGGCATTTGCCTGCCATCAGGCATAATGAAATAGCTCTAGAACAGCAAGCACGTCTCATCTTTCCAGGGAATTACATCAAGACAAAAACCAACGAGGGACTTATTAAACCCAAAAACCTCTGTTTAGAACTCGACAGTGTCAACTTTCGACATAAATATGTTGAAATTTTATTTAGTGGCAGAATTTTTCCTGCTTGCCCCCCAGTATGTAAAGCTTAAAGCAGCAATCCACGAAAACGCTTGCCAAATAATCTCATTGCCTTCTGGTCAGATAACTCAGTTTCCTTTTCCATGGACTACCTAACCTTATGTTCTACAATTCAACCATTCAATAATGTCCTTCGAAATTTCTCCTCGTTCAGGTTCAAAGAGCAGATCATGTAATAACCCTTCATACAGTTTGATGGTTTTGTCAGTTGAGGAGGCCTCTTCGTAGAGTTTTTGAGAAGCTTCTGGTTCAGTTACTGTATCAGCAGTGCCATGGAGAACTAGGAACCGTACTTTCACTTTGCTCAGGTTCTGTTGCAAGTAAGATGCAATTCGAAGAATCTCATAACCAGTTCTCATTCTGATGGATCCAGTGTACACCAAGGGGTCTGAATACTTTGCCTGGAGTGCCTCTGGGTCCCGAGAAACGGCCGTGCCCTTCTTGTTCGCAGCACTGAATTGGTATCTTGGCAGCAAGAAGGAAAAAACAGGGGCAAGTGCCTGGCATCAAGGTAAATGAACTTTCAAAACACAATCTCCTCTAACAACAAAAAAAATGAATTTTTTGGAATCGCTAGATTAGAAATATTATTTTTGTTCAGAATTTCAAACAGTCAGGGTCATATAAAGGGTTTTCTTACTGCAAAAATTGGATGCGATGGCTGAACTCCTACTGCAGGTGAAGTCAGCACAACACCTGCTATGCAAGCTTCTACCTTTGGGTCAAGTACAGCCTACAGGAATTAATGAGACTCAATACTAGAAATTGAAAACTCACACACTTTAGATGTATGTTTATCAAGTTTGGCTTCAAAAAGTGAAGAAATGATTCAGGAAAATATCACATTAAAGTAGCCTCACCATGAGGACTATGGCTGCACCAGTGGAATGCCCAAAGCAAAAACATGGAAGCCCTGGATTATCAGCTATAACCTTCCGAAGAAATGATTTCTATATTGTAAGAAGATACATTAGTGGATTCACTCAACATACACATAGTACCAAGTAACTTATACTCTTGTGAATTCACCCCAAAGCATACCATATCAGCAACAGCATCATCCAAAGAGTGAACATAGGCATGCAGCCCATCACTTCCACCATGGCCTACAGAAAGAGGAAAAATTGATAAAAATAAGTCATATGTTTGACTGATAAACAAATAAGCAAGGGATATGAACAAAAATAACTGGATATAAGAACCACTAGTACAAGCAGTTACAGAACTTTGTTCTCTTGGTACAAATAAGCTGCCTACATCTATGTCTTTTAAACCCAAGTTCTCATAAGAAAGGATGGTGGAGAGAGAGAGAGAGAGAGAGATGAACACAAAGCCTTACACCTAGTGAAGCAACTAAAAAAACTAAAAAAGGGGATCAGAAGATACAGAGGGCAACACCCAATAAATTTACGGGGGGAACCTAGTGACAGACAAGTTTAGATCTCTATTGCAAGTAAACACAGAAAGATCAAACCTTAAAGCAATTCAAGACCTAATGATGGAAAAAAGAGTGACTGTAACTGCATGCCTGTAGCCAGGAGGAGGCACATTGTGTACCAAAAGAATGTTCTGTTTCAAAGACCACAGTCAGCATTTTCTAAAAAACTTCATTCCTGGGAAGGGCTCAAAGAGTGGCTTGGTTTTCAAGACAAAGAAAAGATTAGATTCCTAGAGAGACCTCACAATTCTGGTCTTCTGCTCCTGCAACTTGAAGAAGAGAGAGAGAGAGTTTTAAGGTTCTAGCTTTTTCGAAAAGAATTCTTCCTCCCTTCACCATTCTTATATGAACAAGGACAGATGCAAAGACTCAAATGATAAGCTTACTTATTAGGAGGAGCTTCACATGTTACTTTTTTGGCACCAATGGCCATCCAAATTGGAATNCATGAGGACTATGGCTGCACCAGTGGAATGCCCAAAGCAAAAACATGGAAGCCCTGGATTATCAGCTATAACCTTCCGAAGAAATGATTTCTATATTGTAAGAAGATACATTAGTGGATTCACTCAACATACACATAGTACCAAGTAACTTATACTCTTGTGAATTCACCCCAAAGCATACCATATCAGCAACAGCATCATCCAAAGAGTGAACATAGGCATGCAGCCCATCACTTCCACCATGGCCTACAGAAAGAGGAAAAATTGATAAAAATAAGTCATATGTTTGACTGATAAACAAATAAGCAAGGGATATGAACAAAAATAACTGGATATAAGAACCACTAGTACAAGCAGTTACAGAACTTTGCTCTCTTGGTACAAATAAGCTGCCTACATCTATGTCCTTTAAACCCAAGTTCTCATAAGAAAGGATGGTGGAGAGAGAGAGAGAGAGAGATGAACACAAAGCCTTACACCTAGTGAAGCAACTAAAAAAACTAAAAAAGGGGATCAGAAGATACAGAGGGCAACACCCAATAAATTTACGGGGGGAACCTAGTGACAGACAAGTTTAGATCTCTATTGCAAGTAAACACAGAAAGATCAAACCTTAAAGCAATTCAAGACCTAATGATGGAAAAAAGAGTGACTGTAACTGCATGCCTGTAGCCAGGAGGAGGCACATTGTGTACCAAAAGAATGTTCTGTTTCAAAGACCACAGTCAGCATTTTCTAAAAAACTTCATTCCTGGGAAGGGCTCAAAGAGTGGCTTGGTTTTCAAGACAAAGAAAAGATTAGATTCCTAGAGAGACCTCACAATTCTGGTCTTCTGCTCCTGCAACTTGAAGAAGAGAGAGAGAGAGAGAGAGAGAGATAGTTTTAAGGTTCTAGCTTTTTCGAAAAGAATTCTACCTCCCTTCACCATTCTTATATGAACAAGGACAGATGCAAAGACTCAAATGATAAGCTTACTTATTAGGAGGAGCTTCACATGTTACTTTTTTGGCACCAATGGCCATCCAAATTGGAATATATGCAATCCCTGCAACATCCAAATATAGATGTATCGTCGAAGAACTGTGATATCTAGACTACAAAATCGTAAATACATTAATAAGGCAACCGTCTTCGAAGAAATATCAGATAACTGCATGGCACCGACACAAATTTTAACTGGGAAAAAAGAAAGAAAAACCAACAAGAAAATTCATTAAATCTGGATACAAGGAAGTTCACAGAGTTAGATTATACTTCAGCCTAGACATCTACTCAGCGTAAACTAGATTATAGAAGCCCCTATACATGCTTTTTGAAGCTTGAAAACATGGATTATTACTCACTGTCACTGAGAATCAAAATGAACTCCTTTCCTTTGAGTGGTCGACTTTAACAGAAATTTATGATGCAAAGAGGAATTGTCATTTGTAATAAGGAAGTTGATAAGCAAGAATTACAGGACGCTAGACCAGCCATTTCAAGGTCCATTTAAATGGCACTTGTATAAGGGCAACCTAGTGCGTGAGGATCCTGCCACTACAGAATCTAGCGAGGGTCATATGTATGAAGCCTTATCCTGTTCATACAACCTTGAAGGTACTTATATTTTAAAAAAAGAAACAGAAAAAGATATCCACAAAGAAGGTTTACCATTTATGTCTATAAAATCAAGTTACAACAAATAAAACTCTTATAAGGCTATCCGGCTAGTATACACCCTCCTTTTGTTCTAATAAGTATTAGAGAAAAAGTACATGAAAGATAACAATATGTACAGCTAAAAGGGGCATACCAAAGCAAATACAACCAGCTAACAGCAAGACTAGGATGGCACCCCAAGAAAAAATGCATTGGAGTCCACACTCAAAGACAAGGCACTTGAAGAAAACCCTTAGGTTTGAGAATTGCAAGTGTTGACTCATTCCAAGATGTACAATTTTGTGAGCATTTCATCTTTGAAAAGAAACATATGGAATTCGAGATCGAAAATTCTCCCCCCCCCTCTCTCTCTCTCATGCACACACACATTGGGAGAAGAAAACAGACCTTCTCTAGTTTTAAAAATGTTATTCCTGTCTCCTACTAATTAGAGCGTCCAAAGCCAAAACCCAAGACAGACAACAAACACTTAACCAATCAGGCTTATAGTAAATGCATTAAGAAACTTTGGATGGCTCTATCGCCTCCATTTGTCCTTCATTTAATATTTTCTGCAACCACAAACTACAATTACCAAACGCCCTAAATAACTAACTCTGAAACAAAGGATAAGACAAGAAATAACAATAATGATAGAAAATGCATTAGACAACTATTCATTGAGATTTGTTATTTTTAAGAATGAAAGACAGAACTTTAGTTGCTTATAATATAGGGATTAAAAAAATTACTGAGATTCCAATCAGGCTATATTTCTATTGCCAATACCAGTATAACATTCCAGAATCACATAGATAAAATAAGCACCCACGGATTTATTCACATGTTGCACAATTTCCAAGGCTGTCAAGTTCAGACTACTTGCAGCTTATCAGTGTAGTTCAGTAGACCAACTCGACCCTAGGCCTTAAAGAGTTAATTACAATCTTAGGAATACAAGATGACTTCATTTGTTTAACTTTTTTAATGAGACATGCTAAATACTTACACAGCTACTTCCATAAACTTGTAACATTAACATATGTAACACATGCTTAATAAGAGAAGATAGATTTTGTGAATCACTAAGAATAAACTCGATCTAGATGCAGGAAAAGTGGAGTGATTCAGGCTTATGAAATAGGCCCAAAAGTATAGCTTATATATGTCTTGTATTTTGCTAGACGAGTTGTGATTTCGTGCAGTCCATATTATGGACAAATAAAAATACAATCAAAACAAAATCTGTATCTGCCTTCAGGTATTATCCCCAACATTGAATTTACAGCTCTCTGGTGTGCAAAAACTACATAATAAAACAACCTTTGAAACAGCAAAAAATCATATTTAAGAAGGAATTATAAACAGGACAATTACATATCACCCCCTTCTTTTCTTCCTCCAAACGGAAAAATTAGCTCAAAAAATTGAATGAAACTCTTGGGAAATAATTTCTGATCGACTATATTAACAGGTAAATATCAATATTCAGCATGTGGTAATGGTGCTGAACTAACCAATCCAATCCATTCCATAGATCTTATATCCATTGGCAGTCAGCAGCTTGGCAAAATCACTGTATCTGCCACTGTTTCAAAAGAAGCATTTATTTTAAGCAATACAAAATAAGGAATCAACTCAACATGACATTAAATCTGAAAGGAAAGTACACATACAAACCTGTGTTCATTCAGGCCATGCAACAGAACCACCAGTCCCCTGCACAGGACAAATGAATCCATTTTGGGTGCAACTAAGTCACTTTTTGAATGGCGATTTAAAGGAAAGTAAAATAATTTTAGAAGTAGAAGAACCACTCTACAGGATTACAAGGGAGATCATTTTGTGACTTTAACACATTGAGCATTCAGTTGAACCAGATGCAAGTATTCATTCCCTAGTTAAATATTTGTAAAAATTGCCTCCAACGAATTTACTGTAGTTCTCTAAGAAGCCAGTGACTTAAAACAAACAATCTTTCTTAACCATTCTCAAGGAGCTGAAACAAAGATATACACTAGATGGAATTACATGGAATCAAACCATTCGATTTCCTTTCCACAAGACAATATGAAATTTATATAAAAAATCAGCTAGCAAGTTGAATCTTTATCCCTTATATATTTCCCCCCCAAAAACATACATCAATCAATTCTATCACTTGTTCAATCACATAATATTTAATTAATTTGTAGTTTAACACCACTTTTATTTTATACATTATTCATGCATGATAGTGTACACATGTTAAAAAAATTTTATCGAGTTATGTATTTTGAGAAAATTTTGACACTATTTTTAAGAAAATAATAGGTAGAAATTAATTTTAAATGATGTAAACAAAATATTAATTTTAAATTTGGTATAGTGGGATCAATTTTTTGAACGCTAAAATTTTATATTTCATTGTGCCTTCAGGCACGGGGTATGACTAATTATCATATATACTGCAATCGTTACCATACTAAGCAGTATTATAATAGGAGAGAATGTTTTAACACAAAAGCGTAGTATGTGTCTTTAGATGACTCCAAGTCCTTGCCTAAAAATTAGGCATATTCAAATGATACAAAACATATTCTGTAACTAAATTATTTTCGCATGGCTTTAGAGTTTAGTAGGTCACTGAGGATGCATCCAGTGATATGCTAGACTATTAAAGCAAAATTACAGCCTAATGGACATCTGAGCCATAGAGAGGAGAAAAATTTAGAGCCGATTATAGTCCAAAATTTTTTCCTATAAAATAAAAAATCCTTCTACATGATTCCCATCAAAAGCTCGATTTTCATGTGGTTATCCATTAGCCCCTTTGCCATTTATGCTTAAGTCCTCAAGCTAATGGCGATAATTTATCAAGGTGTCTACATTCCAATTCTGAAGCAGCTAAGAAAAAAGTAAGTACATGATAAAAGAAACGCATTTAGTTGTTGATCTTCCAATAATTTTGCAGGAAAATATCGTCTAGAAAACTATGATTCCCTAGTTGTCTCAATGTTTACTCTTGGCTTTTCATTTAAAGAAAAATCACAGAAATTTCAACATGGTCTTTGAAATGAAAATAAACGACATTCCAACCCTCACAGGATAATGGTTGGTTCAATGAATAAGTCAAACCCATAAAAGCCAGATAATGTTAAAGGTCATTAGACTATATGCCCCACTACAGCCCAAAATGCATAATTCAGCCGACAACCTTTGCCTCACTGCTGCATGACAATAGGTTCCCAGATCAAAGCCAACCTGATTATTGACTTAATCAACATTAAGCAATTCGATTTTTAATATTGAATCATGCTCACTAATGTTTATTATTTTTAACGAAACCATAATATCATTTTTAAATGAATAGGATGTGGTCAAATTACGGAAAAAAATCAAGGTTCAACTACTTTGGCCTGGCTATTCGTAAAATCCAATCATAATTTTGCCCAAGTTTATGCCTAGTCTTGTATGAAAACAATTCTAAACCTCTCCTATGTTATCAGAACAAGCTTTTGATTCTTTTTTTTTTTTGGGTGGGGGGAATGAATGTTAGCAGATTAGACTTCAGAAGCTCATGAAAGTACCCATATGCGGTGCATGCTAAACAAGGATCAAAATTTATTTCGGTGTATTGTTTCGATCACTTAGAAAACGGAAACGTTTCGACATCTTTTGGAAACGTTTCGAACCGTTTCAAAAATAGAATAAAAAAAATAAAAAATTTAACAATTATTTTTTCAAAACATTGGTCGAAATGTACAAAAATATCTTAAAAAACCTTGAAACGTTTTGAAATAGTTGTGTAAATTCATTGAAATATAACAAAATATTTCAAAACATTATAGAACACTTCGAAATATTAGAATTTCGATTTCATCACTGATTTGTTTCTGTCTCCATGAAAACGGAAATATTTCAAATGTTTCGAACGTTTTGCAAAGATATTTTGATCCTTGATGCTAAATACCCATGATCCATCATGAAAAATAAAGTTACTGTTGAAGTCATCCACAGAAGTCAGTTTTTTTTTTTTTCCAGAACACTGGACAGTGACTTGTTAGAATCGTGTGCCAATTGTAGAGTGTTGTCAGGAATAATATCGCACTGCTGCCAACATTATCCCTATGTGCACACTTGCACATAGTATAATGACTTCTTCACCAGTGGCATTACATTGGACGATCATTGTGCTGAAAACAAAGGAGTCACGGTTATAAAAGACACATGGGTGTTGTAATTCTCGGAGTGCGGTCCAGCAATATATGTGCGAATATGCTTTTTATCTAAGATCTCTGCACTTTTGGAATGCTGCCAATTATGCTCTGTAACAGGTAATTATCAGATGGAGACAAAACGTTCCAGCATATTTATGGAGCTCACTGAAATTTAGTATTCAGAAACTTAAAAAAAGTCCGATGTAAACAAGGCTAATAACATAAAGATTGTCTGTTCATTCTCCATGCCAGATTGAATGAAATTGAGATGTCATAACATTTATTAAAAAAAAAGCATAAATGGAAAAAAAAAATCAAAGAGAAACATCCAACAAATGCAAAGTCCGGGAATCTAACTAAAACTAGACATAGAACTAGCCATTGTCATTATAATTTATATGTTAAAGAGAGGTTGTTTCCAAAACTGAAACCTTCATTTTCATGGTAGGCAACCAAGCTGCAACTACTAAAAAAAGGGCATTTATATATAAACACGACCAAAAGCTGGAGTAGTTGTTAGACGCAATCCCTTTGGGTCATTCCCTTAATGCATTTGGGACCAAAGGACTATGGAATTCAGGTCATCCGCTGATTTAAGAGGCATGGCTATATATACCATTCCTAATTTGTAAATTATGAAACAAAGAATCAATTCGAGAGATCCATAAAAAAGATTTCGGATATCTGGGTTGACAAAGTTCCAACAAATAGTAATAAGATATGAAAATAAAAATGAAACCAATCTAACACCAAATCAAACCAAACAAAACCTTAAACCAATTATTTGTACCGGCTAGATAAATAATTTTTCATCTTCCCATTCTGCTCTATTAATGCATCAACAAAAATTAAAAACAAAACTAAATATTACCTGATTTTGAATGAAACTGGAGTCCAGGATTGAGTAAACATGGTGTCTCCTCTCGAAGTAACAAAAAGCGAAAACTCCCTCACCGACTCACCATCATTATCATCCAGCACCACCCTCCGAATGGCAAGCGCTCTCCTGGCGGCCACCTCCTGATCCACCACCACCGCACTGCTGCTCTTCCACGGCACAATCCTTGCCGGCACCCTCGCCACCGTGTTACCCTTCTTGTCGTGTACTTTTTCCTCCTTATTGTGACCTTTCTCCGAACACGCGGACGACGAAGACGATGCCATCATTGACGGAGACGTTGCCATGCAACGCTTTCGACCGCGAAATGGCAATAGCAAAAGCAACACAAACGCATTGATCAGCATTGCCAAACTCTTCAGCGCCCGCAGCGACAACAACGCGTTAACGCGTCCGCTGGCGCCAGACGTTAACATTATCGCTGCTCCAACATCTGCTTTCATCGTCGGCTCAACCGCCATTTTTGTTGTTCTTCTTCTTCTTCGAGTCGATAGCGATGAATTCAATTCTGAAAAATCTCTCCCTAAATGTATTCTCTTCGATTTCGAAGTGGGGCTTTTGTCAACATAAAATCGAAAATTTTCAACATTCAGAATGTGGGATTTTTGTGCTGCCAAACAAATCATACACCAGAGAGGTAATAGTCGAGGAGAGCAAGAAAGAAGAAAATGGAGAAACTTTTGGCTATATTTTGAGGTGTTCACGGTTGGATATTGGATTTGGTAGGTTTTTTTTTTTTTTTTTTGTGGGGGTGGGGGGTGTTTGTGGTTGGGTTTGTTTTGTGAGAATTATACTTTAGTCCCTAAAATTTTTAACTTAATTACTCAAATTTTTTAATATTTAAAATATTATATCCACTCCTACCATTAATATCATTATATCCGTTTAATAAATTACGGTCAGACCTTTTAAAGTTTATAAGTATACAATATTTAGATTTCTTAAGTCCCCCTTCCCCTCCCAAACTTTAAAATATATATATATAATTGAAAATTTGGAAAAACAGTTTGCAGATCACAGCATGACCCAACCTATTTCCAAGCTCAATGCTTTAGTTAGGCTTCTTACTAATTCCACTAAGAATTGGTATCCTAGACCTACACCACCAGATCTTCAATATGAAGAAAAAAATGTATTAAATCAATTTTCTGTTCAGTCCAATAAACTCTATGAATGGAACATAGATGGATTAAGTGGACAGGAAATCATTAACAAGATTAGTCATCTGTCTATGGTGATTAATAATTATATGACCAATCTTGACAGCCCTGAACCTGATATTGTTAAACTAATAACCTCAGGATTTACAGGTGTTTTACGAGATTGGTGGGATAATTATCTCACCTCAGACCAAAAGGAAAGTGTTATTTATGCTGTACTTAGAGATGATGAAGGTAATCTAATTTTTGATGAAAGGATTGGATTGGCTAAACCTGATGGATGTAATACTCTTATATTCACCATCATTAAACACTTTGTAGGAACACCTAGTAGTATTACTGCTAGGATCCACGACCAACTTACCAACCTAAGATGTCCCACTTTAAGTGACTTTAGGTGGTATAAGGATGTTTTTGTTTCGCGTGTCATGGTTCGACCAGATTGCCAGAAAGCATTCTGGAAAGAAAAATTTGTTAATGGACTACCCAATCTTTTTGCCCATAAGGTAAGAGAAGTCCTTAGCAACGATACTGGAATTATTGAATATGATAATCTTGCTTATGGAGAACTCATTAGCACCATCCAAAATGTAGGATTAAAATGGTGTATTGATTTGAGGATTAATAAGCAATTAACAAATGAGAAGCAAAAAGCCAAATATGAATTAGGTAATTTTTGTGAACAGTATGGATTACAGCCAATAGCTCCTTCCCAATCTAAACCCCACAAAAAACCTAAAAAACACAGTACTTATTCAAAAAATAGGTTTTATCAAAAACACAAGAAGTCTTTTTCTAAACCTAAAACTGAGATTTCTAATAAGTCCAAAAAGCATTATCGGCCTAAACCTTATAAGAAATCAACAAAGGGAAAAGGAAAAGCACAAGAAGATGTTAAATGTTTTAATTGTGGCAAACCAGGCCATATTAGTCCTGATTGTCCAATTAAAAAACAGGTTAAACGATTAAATTTATCCCAAGAAGATGAAAATAAAATCCTGGAAATCTTTAGGATAAATAATTTAGACAGTTCTGAAGAATCCGAAAGTCCAGTAGAGCTATCAGATTCTTCTGACTACCATTCAGCATCTGATCACCCTCATGTCCAATTAGGATGTGCTTGTCATAAACAAGTTCGGGTAATCACTAAACAAAATGAAGAACACATGCTTATAGATCTAATCTCCAAGATAGAGGATCCAGATCTAAAAGAAAAGTATGTTAAACAACTTAGGAATTTATTTAAAAAGGACAGTAAACAACCTGTTCCTGAAAAATAAATTGTGAGTCTTAACAAAACTATGGAAAGATTCAGTAAGGAAAAGAAAAAAGAAATTACCTTACAGGATCTCCAAAGTGAAGTTAATAAACTCAAAATCGAAATAAAAGAATTAAAAGCTCAAGACAAGAAATTTGCAGAAGCTTTAAGTCTTTTACAAACAAAAAAACAATCTGAAAAATCTCAGGATTCTGATCCAGAAGACCAGACTGAAGATTTCACTAATCCTTTTGATCATCAATGCTATACACAGGGGATACCAGTAACCTCCTCCTTTCAGATGGAAACTTCTGGTGTAACGAACCTGCCTTCATTCCATGAAGTAAGCACTAATGATGATAAAAGAATTAGCCTAATTAATTCTTTAATTGTCCAAAAATGGCATGTTGAAGTGAAAATAGTCATCAATAATAACTTTGAACTTAACATTATTGCACTTATTGATACAAGTGCAGATGTTAACTGTATCCAAGAAGGACTGGTTCCAACAATGTTTTATGAAAAAACAATGGAAAGAATTAGTTCTGCCAATGGTAATAAAATGAATGTTAAATACAAACTTCCTAAGGTGCATGTCTACCAACAAGATGTTTGTTTTGAGACATCATTTATTTTGGTTAAAGACATAACAGATGCAGTCATTCTTGGTTTACCATTCGTATATCTGTTGTACCCTTTTAGTACAAATACGGATGGACTGACAACCAAGCCCTTTGGACAAAAGGTTGTATTTCCTTTCATTACCAAACCAAAAAGAAAACAATTGAGGCAACTAACAGACGTTTCAGTCTCTAAGTCCCTTAATGTTATTCATAATAAAATTAAACAAGTGGAATTTCTTAAGAAAGAGATTAACCACCTCAGGATTAAAGATCACCTAACCAACCCAATCTTCCAACAAAAGATTGAAAAGTTTAGAGAAAAATTAGAAATGGAAGTTTGTTCATCCTTTCCTACAGCATTCTGGCATAGGAATAAACATGTGGTTAGACTTCCGTATGTCAAAGGTTTTAGTGAGGACAATATCCCGACTAAATCCAGACCAATCCAAATGAACCATGAAACTATGGAAATCTGTAAAAAAGAGATTTCTGAGTTATTAAAAAATGGTATCATTCGGAAAAGTAAGTCCCCCTGGTCTTGCCCTGCTTTCTATGTCGTTAAAACTGCAGAATTAGAAAGAGGAGTGCCAAGGCTTGTTATCAATTATAAACCTTTAAACAAAGTTTTAGAATGGATTAGGTACCCTATACCTAATAAGCAAGATTTGATAAAAAGACTCAGTAAGTCTGTTATCTTTTCAAAATTTGATCTCAAAAGTGGGTATTGACAAATACAGATCCACCCTGAGGATAGGTACAAGACTGCATTCACCACCCTTTTTGGGCATTATGAATGGAATGTTATGGCTTTTGGACTCAAAAATGCTCCAAGCGAATTCCAGAACATAATGAATGAAATATTTAATTGTATAAGTCATTTTTCTATTGTCTATATAGATGATATTCTCATCTTCTCCAGGTCAATAAAAGAACATTGGAAGCACCTGTATGCTTTCTTTGAACTAGTAAGACAAAATGGTTTAGTCATTTCAGCTCCTAAAATTAAGTTATTTCAAACCTCAGTAAGGTTTTTAGGATACAACATCCAGGAGTCTACCATAGTTCCCATCAGTAGAGCTATCCAATTTGCAGATAAGTTCCCTGATGAAATATTAGATAAAAATCAGCTTCAAAGGTTTTTAGGTTCCCTAAATTATATTTCTGACTTTTATCAGGATCTTAGGAAAATCATCAAACCTCTGTATGACAGGCTCAAAGGAAATCCTCCTCCTTGGACCCCTGTCCATACTTCTATTGTTCAACAGGTCAAAAAGTTCATTAAAACTCTTCCCTGTCTTGGAATTCCGTCTGTGGACTCCTTCAAGATCATTCAGACTGATGCCTCAAAAATTGGCTATGATGGTATCCTCCTTCAGAGAAAATCTCTTAATTCTCCTGAACAAATTGTTCGATTCTATTCTGGAATTTGGAATAAGACCCAAGCCAATTACTCTACTATTAAAAAAGAGATTTTATCTATTGTTCTGTGTATCTCTAAATTCCAGGATGATATATTAAATCAGAAATTCCTGATACGGGTTGATTGTAAATCCGCCAAGGATGTCTTAACAAAAGATGTTAAAAATATTGCTACTAAGCAAATTTTTGCAAGATGACAATCTATTTTAAGTATTTTCGATTTTGATATAGAATATATTAAAGGAGAAAATAATTATATCCCTGATTTCCTAACCCGTGAATTTTTGCAGGAACCTCATGGCCACTAGGAAACCCAGTTCNATAGAATATATTAAAGGAGAAAATAATTATATCCCTGATTTCCTAACCCGTGAATTTTTGCAGGAACCTCATGGCCACTAGGAAACCCAGTTCTTCTGGAACCTCCTCCAAAAATCAGGGGGGAAAAAAGGATAAACAAGTCTTACCAAAACCTGAACCTGACTTGCCAATAGTCTTGTCAAACAGATATCTGTCATTAGGAAACCCTAATCCAATGAGGCCAGTAGCCCCATCACCAGGGCCAATAGCCCAATCGTCCTTAGTCATAAGGCCAGTAGCCATTTCAACTACTGTAAACCCATTGACTTTTACCCAAATGGCCCAAAGACCACCTACCAGTACATTAACCAACCCTTACACATCATCCCAATCTTTTGTAGCTCATAAAAGCCCAAGAGTTGATTATATCAAGGCTTTTNTTACCCAAATGGCCCAAAGACCACCTACCAGTACATTAACCAACCCTTACACATCATCCCAATCTTTTGTAGCTCATAAAATCCCAAGAGTTGATTATATCAAGGCTTTTCATTCCCAGTACAAGGATCCAAGAGATCTGGTAGGGTCCCTAAAAGTTGGAATTTCATTCCTGTTGATCTTGAGAAACCACATAGTTTCTACCAAGATATTCTCTTTTTCACAAAATTCATTCTTACTAGGCTCATACCAGATAAGAATGA